AAGGGAAGGTTATAAAAATCATGCTGGAAGCCCTTTAACCATACAAGATTGGGAAAATAGTTTTCTGCTACTCAGCAGAAGGGGAGCTACAGACAATGAAAACAAAATAGTTCAGTGTTTATTGCCTCTTTTTGCTTTCATCTGCTAGAATCACTTTCATGGTTGTAAAAGCTGAGATGCCACAAGAAATAGAAACAATTTCTTTTTTTACAGAAGTGGAGCTTAAACTGAAATAGGAAACTTTCAGCTTGGATTTTAGGGATTGTAAAGGAAGGTATTAAATCAGCCATGTTGCAGATTTGCAAACATATTAGACAATGACCCTCAGGTTAAGGTATAGCTTATTCTTTACTCAGGAAGGTTCACTACAGGCTTGTTTCCTAAAATTTTTAATTCTACATGGAAACAGATGAACTAACATTTGTAGACAAATTTCTCAAACTTTATTGTAATTCAGTTTACAATCCATATATAACTTTAGTCTAACACAGGTCAAAAAACATATCTCCATGCTTGGCTGTCACTAATTTTGCAAAGGTCTGGATTGCAGTTTAAATATAAAACTTACAGAAACTTTTCAGATATTTATTCACAGAGTTCATCTGTGACCCTCTACAGTCCATATTTAGTCATCCATAAATCTATCAGATTTTTAGCTTTCAAAATCAAATGAAGTCTGGAAGTAAGTAAATACAGAGAAGGCACTGAAGTCTGAAGTAAACACAGAGATTCAAAATAATACATGAGGGAAATTTTTGCTGGGAAGACACTGCTTTTGTGCATGCATGCATGTCTCTGCTTTTGCGTGTGTATATGTGTGTATGCAAAAAATGTCCAGATGGGCAAAATAACAAGCTATTGAATTAAATTATGCTTTATATAAATTATGTAGTAAAGGATTTAAAATTTAAAAACTGATCCATATTGAGGTCTCTACATTTCCCATCTAAGGCTATACTCAACATCAACTATCATTTATCAGGAATGATTATGGCTAAAAGGTCTAACATTAATGAATAAGATGTCGAAAGAAAAGTTAGAGTGGCCTATAGATACAAGGTTAGCTACACTAAGAACTGAAAGAGGAGGAGCTATATAGCCCTAGTTGTAACTGTGTTGGTCTATCTAAATTGTTGGAGCTGGTTTCCTTACTAAGACTGGGAAACATAAGTTAGCTCTCTCTCAGAAAGGACCTGAGCTGCTAAAAGGACAAGGTGCTATTCTTCTGATATTTATTTACTAAATCATTACCTGTACTAGGTAGAAGGTAGAACAAGTTGAATAAACAACAAAATGGGGTTGATTTTGAAGTGGAGTAAGACCACCATTTCCTCTCCAGTGGAAAAACTGAGAAATAAGAAGTACTGGAGGATGATGTATTGTCAAGGGTGGCAAAGGAAAAGAGACTACAATTAACTGAGATGGAACATGTCCAAGACAGAGGCCCAGCAAACTCAAGTGGTCCCAGACACTAAGTGCCACTCCATGCTCACAGGAGCCCCACCCAAAGCAAATCCTTGTCAGGGCCAAAAGACAGTCACAGTTTCCTGAAGCAGTTGATGTCTCAGTGAGGTCTAAGCCTGGTTCAGACCCAGCTACCTCACACACGAGATCCAGTGAGATTGGAAGGTTATTGCTGCAAGCCGTTTTGAAGTGCTTATCAGGAAAATGCAAAATGACTAAATGCTATAGCTTGGGGGGAGAGGGGCTATTAATAGAGCCTCTGCCAACTGATAACAGAGATATGAAGAATCTTAAACAAGTAGACAGATGAATTGTTCTGAAGCAAAAGGAAAACATTTCTAAGAATGAGGGAGGGAATTCACCAAAATGACTTAAACTGAATCCTAGGAATATCTGTCTCAACCACCAGGTCTAAATATTAGAAAGGAACCAGGCCTTTGCTTAAACAACTCAAGTAAGATGAACAGGCCATATGCTTCAGGGTGCTAACCTCTAATGGTCACTAAAATGGGAATAAATTACTGATGGATGTTCTCTATGCATTAATACCAAGTTCTCTGCAAAACCATTTTCACACTTGAAGTCAGTATGGTGAGGTAACTCCCTCCAGGTGGCTATTGATCTTCATGAATAGGTTTGTGCTGGCACTGACTACGGCAGAGTAGCTACTAAAAGGACACCTAGTGGTAAATAAATGAGTGTGCCCAGAAACTGCTGGCATTGCTGAAGGTGTGCCACTGTAACTGGCATGGGAATTGCTGACCTGTTACGTGTTGAGCATGCAATGTTACATATGAACTTACGTGTCAAGCAGCACTACTCATTTACTTTTTAAAATGGCAAACAATATTCTTAAAAGCATGTTTTAAAAACCTGAAATCCTCAAAACTCAGAGAACAGTTTTTTTAAACAGAAGATGCACTGTACTGTCTGTCACACACTACAAAATCAAATGTACTGAATCTGCACTGCATTCACTTTAGGAATATTGGATAGCTGAACAGAACTCATTACAGATATGTTTTCCCTGATATTCAAGCCAGATTTCATCTTGGGCAATATCATTCCTTGGTTCCTCCATCGTGCCACTCTAAAATATCCTGAGCAATTCTTTCCCTTGTCATCTTTTTCTCCTATGAAGACAAACAGCCGGAGAATATAAATTGTACACATTTGAGCTAACTTTAGTTTTTGGGGGTTGTTTGGGGTTTTTTTATTTGACTTTTTTTTGCCCATGCAACTTTATAGTCACTTCTTGTCTGTGTTTGTTCCAAACCCTTTAATATGTACTAATGCCCTTGTGACCAAGAGATGCCCACAACAGAAAGCTCTATTCCAGATGGAGTCACGACGGTCTCATGCAGAGAGGGATTATAACCTTCCTGGGTAGTGACATGCTGCCTCTGGGCAAACAGACCAAAATCCACACTTAGCTTTCTTGTTTATGTCAACATATTGTATTACAGGCACAGAATAACTTGCTGACCACTGTCCCTCTTCAATTATTGTTTTTATGTTCTCTTTTCCAGGTTTGTCTTTTCTATTGAGCACCAGTTTCTTTGGATTAATTTTCCCTGAGTGAATTAGTACAGATTTACTAAGCCAGTTTTCCAGATACATTTTTTTATCCAATTTTCTAACATCTCTGTATGCCACTGGTCTGTTCTCTGTCCTCAGAATGCTTATAAGCTTCCAATTTAGTGCCACCCTTTGATTTAAAAAGCCACAAACAGAAATCCATTTCTGTTCTTCTCTTTCATCACAACAAAGATTGAAACACTGGGATGAATATGTTTGTTTGCTTTTTTAGGTGACTTGCTACCAAAACTTTTCCTTTAAAAAAACCCCAAACAAACAGATTCTGCCTTTTTTCTTCATAATTACAAGTAGATCGTGATGTTCATGAGGGATGTGGCAGATTCTGCCCTTACACAAACATTTGCAACCATTCCTCAGGCAGCTCAGTTTCCACAGCTCACCTCTCCTCCACTCCACCCTTCTGAAGCTCCAGCCTGCCCTCTTGTCTTAAAATGGCGTGTAGTTTCCTTCCTTTACTATAAACACTGTTTTCTGTAACCTTAGTTTCATGATGTAAACATTTAAAAATAAGAATGAAGGGAACACAAACTATGTGTTCAATTAGGTAATTTGGGAATTAAATTAAATGAAATCTCTCAAAACATGGAACACGGAACATTTCAACATAATGCAGCCTGGATTTACTTGTTTTCCTTTTATCTCATCCCTTTAAGAAAAGGAGACAGTGGATCTTAGAAACTCCAGAAGGGTAGTAAAGGCAGCTGAAGAGATTTAACTGCTTGTGGATGCAAGAGAAATGAAAGTCATGCTTAGAGGAAGAGACCATAACACTCAGGTATGTGTTTAAAGGGAAAGAGAGGCACTCTGTAAACTGCAGGATGCTGGAGCCTGCGCAACCACCTGCCACAGCTGACACGGGAGGCTCCTGCTATCAGTGATATCACCCTTTGTAATCTCATGTCAGCCTTGTAAAATGCCCTGCAGCCTGACAAAGTCTCTTCAAATTGGCATTTCTTTTATACTAAAATGCATTTTAAAAGCAAGAAGGCAACCAACAGATACTATTCGTTGGTTAAAGAAAAGAAAAAATAAATTATATATATATATATATATATATATGTGCACTCGTAATATTTTATATATATACTGTGTATCATAAGGAGTAGTAATGGGAAGAAAATAAAGGAAAAATAATGCCCATAAAAATATTTCTATTTATCTCTGCAGTCCACCTATAAGTTTTGGTCAACTATACTCCTTCATACACTGGACATTTTTTCCTTTTTTTGAAAACAACTGTAGAGGGAATCTCCATTATTAATCCACTCATCTGGATTTTGCTCCTGTGAACTTCTCAGCAGCAGAAGAAACTCAAAATATCTTCAAATTTGGAAGAATTCATTTTATGTACATCTGAAAATGCATATTTAGCTTTCACTTTGTGGGGTGCCAGACAATTTTACAAATGAAGCGTAGCCTAGTACAGCTCTACTCAGCACTTTAAACTTTGAGTCTCTCTTACCCTGAAAGACAGTGATCATTTTGGCTTTTCAGATGAAACCATTTCCTTCTGGCTTACAGCAAACATAGGTAATACAGTAGTTGGCTGACTTTCACATTGTACTTAAAAAGGCATTTTGAACTTTCATAATAATAGCTTCAAATAGAGAATTCAAACTATTAACAGGTATTACATTTGCCCCAAGTTTCTTTCCCAGTTTAGTGATTTTACAGTTATGTTTTCCCATTTTCTAAAGCCTGCTGATGAAAGACTGTTATCCCACTATTTGGTGAAAAACACACAAACTACATAAAAGAAAATGAATGAAATTTCCAATGCAACATCCCATGAACAAATAAGTTCAATAATAGATCTTTTTTCTCCTCTGCCTTTATCAATATAAAACTATTTGTTACTTTTACTCAGGATTAGTACAAAGCAGCAATAAATTAGAAGGATACTTTTAACAGGATGCTGAGATCTTAAGGAAACCTACCTTGAAAGAAACTTTTGACTCGGAGATAGCTGACACTAAGGCGCAAGACGGAAAGTTTGTCCAGCTTTGATACGATGTCAGGTGGAAAAGGAAGGAGGCTGGCCAGATGGTCCAGCTCCGCATTCAGGCGGTCTCGGTGTCTCTTCGAAGGATTGGATTTCTCGTTCCCAACTGCAGGCCTTCTGTGGTGGAGAACACATTTTCGATTACCTGTTTTACTTCCTGAGATTGAGATGCTGCATGCAATTAATTGATAACAGGAATACTTTTGTTTAGCTTCTATGAAAATATTTAAAGTCTCTGTCCTCTGACAAAAAGAGATTTACCATTCTGCATTTGCCATGGTGCAAAGACACAGGCTTTGTCATCTCTTTTTGTATCAGGCCTAAAGTGAAGAGCTCTTACTCAGGACCTCTCACCTTAGGGAAGTGGGTGTCTTCATGTTCTAGTCAATACCAGGAAAAAAATTTCTCATGTTTGTTGTAAAAATGAGGGGCAGAGCAGCAGGGGAAAATTACCAGGACTAATGCATGAACCTGTTCAATACCTGCTGTATTCATTCAAAACATCTTTCCCATAGTTCCCTCAATTTAATGACTCAAAGTTAACCTGTGGGTTAGGAGATAATTAAGATAAAACTCTGTCTTTAGACATGAGTTTAAAAAGTATGGAAGGCAAGGTGAAGAGAGATTCTTTCCTCAAGCTCAAAATTCCTGTGTACATTCTCAGTTTTACCTTTCTACCTCATGAATAACAAATATAAGAATTTGGTTTCTTAAGAAGATTGATATTCCTCACAAAACACAGAGATTAAAGTTACTCAGCTTTCTAGGCCAAGCAAGTCCATCCCCATTTTGTGCTCCTCTTATGTAATGGACAGTACTAGAGAACCTAGAATAGCTGTTGTGAAAATTCATTTAGATGAAATACATCACAAGTGAGGAATCTCAATTTTGGAATGTCCACTGATATTCCCAGAGAAAGTGTAGGGTGTTCTCAAGAGGGAGTAAAGGAGAAGCTGGTGCATTTGCACACAGAAATGGGGACCTTATTTCCAGCATGACAGTGGAGTGCTCAGTGCTGAAGCACAGACCTGTCCATTAAGCAAGGAGACCTGAGTGGGAGGTTGAGAAGGTGGTTCCTTTCAGTAGCCAGCTTTTGCTGGACCCAGCACTAGCCAACTGCATTATCCAGATATGAGCTATGGGACTGGAGCCATACATGGATGCTCAGGAAGGGGAAACAACAAGTAAGAAAACTATGGTTGTGCTAACAGTTTCTACTTTCACCTCAATGAATCCAACAATCATAATCTTAAGTAGCTAGCTGATGTTCCAGTGAACAATGAGAGTAAAAGCTAATTATTTGTCACACTTTACTACTGTGTTTTCATGTTACACACATTTACTGCATTTTTCAATTAAAAGTTTAATTTTGAGAATTACCATTTCACAAGGTGGATAAGGTGCTAAATTACAACAGTATAAATTTTTCATTGCAGTTGCCATTGTAAAAAAATTGTGCTCGGAATTAGTAAAAAAAAAGATCAGTTTTTTGATGAGAAATTTTGTTTGTGTTCTGCTGCTAACTGAAAACCTCTTAAAGCAAATCAGGTATGAAAAATTCATTGCTACTTTTGAGAAGCTTACTTCAGGGGAACAGCATCAGTGGACAGAATGGACAGAAAAACATTTGAGGTAGGTTTCATTGAAAATACTTAATTTCTGCTATTTCATTCAAAATTTCCAATACTAATATGTGGTTCTTTAACAACACAATGATTTGCTTCCTAAGACATGGAGAAAATTTTGCTGATTGGGATAACTTAATGACTTTCCTGTATCAGAGAGAGGAAATACGTGAACAAATAATGGAATCTACAAAGAAGGAATAGTGTTTTTTACTTTTTCCGAGCTAACTATTTTTTGCAGTAAACCTCGAGGCCCAACCATCCTATGACACCAAACAGCTGTCTGATCTATGAAGGGCAGTAATTTTTTGGGAACATAGCCTATATCTGAGCAGAAGGTAAAGAACATAAGCTTTTGTTAATCAGTCTTTACATCTGACAAACCAGCTGAAGCAAGGGAGCAATGTAGGACAGAAGAAATTAATTCCAATAAGGAAAATTAAACTGATGAGTTCAAGAGGTAAAAATTGTCAAGAGTAATATGAAATAGAAATAGAAGTTGTTCAAGCCTATTTACCACCTAAAATAGTGACTGCTCTATGCCAGAGAGGAATGGTTTGAAGCAATCAGGTGGTCTGCCTTTGTACTGAGTGCAAGGAATAGTTTTCTGGAGATGTCAGGGAATGGTGCAAAGAGACTATGGGAGAAAGTTCAGGACAGAGTCTTCCTGAAAACTCAAGGAAATGATTCAGTAAGGGAGTGAATCCAAACAAACAGGGGTTTGATGTAAATGGTAGTAAGGTGCCAAGTGGATGTGATTTTAAACAATGTGAGTTCCATGGAAAGGCTCAGTTAGCTAGCCATAAACAGAAAGGTACAGGAAAGGAAAATCTTCAGTGGGCTGCTTTGAGGTAAATGAAAATTCTAGCCTTTATTTTGAGCTGAAAGTAGATGGTGCTTGTTGTGTTCATGTTAAACTCAGGATTGTCAAACTGTAAACAGAGACATAGGGGTCACTTGATGATCACTCATTTACTCTGCTTTCCATACAACACTGCTATAGTTCAGGAGCACGTGTAATGAAAGCAATAAATCTGCCTTTTCTTTCTTCACATTGTTAAACTGCCCAGTAGTAACAAGTACTTGTACCTGTGCAGGACCCACATTAGCAGTCCCTGTGCAGTGGGAGCTGATGCAGAGAACATTTTCTGTTCTGGTGGTACACAAGGCATTGAGCCATTTTGGCATTAGTGATTCAGTGTGCCCACGACACAGACTGCCACTAGTGCAAACCAGTTTGGTGAGCTGGCAGAGGAATTTCCTGCAGCTACAACTCTGTCTGCTGTTCCCTACCCTCTTCAGAACCCTACCCTGTTAATGAAAATTTCACTCTGAATGAGTTTTTATTAGTTTGTCGAAGTGTTAAACCAGCCAAAGACCTGAGTGGAGAAAGGTCTAATCATTTACCATGACAGCAAGCTTTCAGTAAGAGGGGAAAGGGAAGAGAGACCATGAGATGCAACAGATAGGCTGAGAGCAAAGTAACAACAGATGATTATCATGAGTGTACTGACCAGCACCCTCAGTCACTGAGCTGTGCTTGGACATTGTGTAGGAATCCTGGAAGAGCTGAGCTCCAGTGGCAGCCATGTATGTGTGGATGTTGACATACACACACATCTGTGTGTATCTCCTATGAGCCAAAAGGACAGAATGAGAGAAAGCTGCTTGAAGGGAAAGGTGGCCCTTTGCCACCTTCTGTATCTCCTGTGTCTTCACAGCAAGGAAAGGTGGAAGCAGAACTAGTGGTCAAGAAGACATAACACCAGCAGAGCAGATGAGACGAGGGATAGTGTGGTACCAAGTAAGAGGAAGGGCCATGCCACAAAGGGTCTTAAATTGAGAACCAGGAAGCAGGAGAGAGGTCTGGAGCAGTTATGGATACACTCAGAGCTAGGGCAGGTGTAGTAGTCTTTAAAGAGCTGTAAAACATTACAATAAATGTTTTGTAGAGGGAAAGAGTTTTACAAGATGCCAGGGTTTGAGATGAGGAAGAGGTTGAAGTTCTCAAATGGTAACTGTCCTGAAGCTTTGCCTTAGCACTTTTAAGTATTAATTTCAACACAGTGATTTTAGCTTGTGGTTAAAGACAAGATCTCTTTAATTTCCAGATGCTTGAATTACCAGTAAAATGTTAGATTTCCACAGGAAATAAACACTTGGTAGAAAACGTTTCCTTTAGTCAAAATGCCAGCTGCCTGGCCAAAAAGCATATCTGATGGAAAATTTTCAATCTGCCTGAGCTCCAGGTGTTTGAACTGTGTCCATAAATGCTAAAATTCTTTAGTATCAATCACATTTAATCTTGTAGCTTGTTTGGGAGATTTTGGGTACAAAAGGAAAACAGCTACGTTTTTTTAAATTTTCTTGAATGTATCAAAGTAGAACCTGAACCTTATATGTTATCTGAAGAATGGCAACCTGATGAAGGTAGTCTCTGCTAGTTCTCTGTAGAAATCAAGACTGAAACATATTAGCTCCTCCCAGTAAAATTTTCCACACATTCTTCCACAGTCTTGTGGGTCTCTGTATTCTCCCATGGACCTTTTTTATACATTTTCATCACTGTTCTGTAAAACCACCTCAGAATAAAATTTCTGTGCTTGAAAAACATTCATGAACATAATGAATAATACCATTCTGTGATATTGTGACATAAAAGCCAGAGCTGTAGGATCACCACCTGGTTGACAGTCTAGTCATGAAAAGATTATGTAGAGTCAGAGAGTTGGCTTCCTGGGATGCACTGAGTATGGGGAGATATAAATGGCCCAGTTGTTCTGCAGAGGGGAAAGCTGCACCTCTGTCCTTTAAATTCTGACCTTTGAAACCACTAATCCATGAATACCTACTGAAATACATGTATCTTCCTCACAAGGAGGCACCTGAGTTCACTTATCCTTTTGTTAAAAGAAAGGTAAATTCTAGAGACTACTTACATTAAAAAGAGAGGACTGCCTAAAGAGTACCCATCAACTTTATTTCCTGTGAAAAATCAGGTTTTACAACCAAACAAATACTCCTTCCAGAACAGGTGTCAGTATCTACCTTGATTCATTGGCAGAGTGAAGGGGGGAAAGTACAAGAAGGCTGTGGAGGAGAAAGCTCTGTGCTATCAAACAGGAGGAAAAAGCTGTAACACAGATGCTACAACATGGATTAAAATAATGGTTAAATATGCTGCTCAATTAATAGCCTTTGTCTATTCTTCTGAATTCCAGATAAATTACTCAAGGCAGCATAACAGTAATGTCAGAGTCCTGAAATGTCAGTAAGAGCAGCAGGACTGAAAAACACAGACCAGGAAAGGAGCTCTGTCAGCCTGGGGCACTCAGAGCCTCTTTAGAGGAAAGTCCCCAAGTGAGGGAATAGGCACAGGAAAGGCTCACCAGAGACCAAGCCCACAAACAGATAAGGTTTGAGGAAGAGACCAGTGTTGCTAGGAACTGAAAAATCATCCCCTGCAAGCGGTAAGTAACTAACCACAGAAAATGGAGTGCTGTCTCCAGTGTGGGAGTTCAGTATTCTAACAATTCAAACAGTTCCTTTTGCTTTAGACCATGTTTCTTAATCAAAATTGTTCTGGGTTGATAAGTTCATACTCAGGTACCTGCACTGCAACATCATAGAAAAGCTATTTTCAAGGCAACATTAGCTGCAAAGGTTCCCAAGAAAACTCGGTTGTGTAAAGTGAGAATTTGCTTCAGAGGGTATTAAAGCCAGAACTTCAAAAAAGGCTAATGAGGTAATTTCTGTGATTTGGTAGCAGGTAGTTTTCTTAGCCATTGCATTTATCTATAAGTGGTCTTTGAGAGGAGTTCTAGCTAGCATGTAAACTCCAAACATAATCTTAAGGTTTCTCAAAGCAACTGAAAGCCTCCGTCCTTTCACACAAAAGTAATGATCCATAAACAGTTCTGCACAGAGGTAATTTAATGTACTGGAAATGTTCCATCCCTCTTGCAGTTGTTATAAAATCAAATATCTACATCCATACTGAAAGAGTAGTGCAGAAATCTCACACACATTTTGAATTCAACACTCGGGATTTTTGCAGGAAGAATAATTTCATTATCTTTGTCTATTGAAATATGATACATTTTATACTAAAAGAAACAATTTTTTAAGTGGGAACAAGTGGTTCATGAGTAAATACTGCCCAAAAATCCAAACAATATCAACAGATGTCATTAAAACATTCAGAGAAACTCCCCTTTGACTTTAGACCAGTATGAACAATTTTAAGCCAAGTAGGTTATTTTTAGAACTTCTGAAAACTGAAAATAGGGAAATCTATTTTAGTTACCTTCTCATCCTTAAATTGTGTGTGAAGGCCACCAGTGCCAGTTCATAATTTTAACACAGTAAAAATGTGCGTTTCATAATCATATAATCAAGTGTAACACAGAAAATGTGGGATGATTACATTAAAAAGCTTTATTTCACAGATCGGTTTATGGCATCTGGAACTCATTTACATTTGAGTGATAGCAACCTTTTCCTTCCCCCTCCCATTTCAAGCGTCTTGTAGTAACAAATTTCCATTGTACTTCTTCTTTTCCTGCTTTGCCTTCGTATACACAATTCCTCTCTCCCATTTTTCTCCTAATGAAAGTGATCCCATAGTAAATAGAAGCCTGAAAATTATGTGTTCTATATGCAAAAAGTGACTCACCAGTCTGCTCTTTCAGTTGGCTGAACTGACCCACTTTCCCAGCTCGCACATGTTGGACTCAGCAATGCCCCACGCAAGGCTAAGCCCAGGAAAGGGGAAGGGGGGAGTGCAATGCCAGTGCTCTGGTGCCACTCAACACACGGCTTCTCAAAAAGCTCTTTCAACAGGCAGCACAGAGCATGGAAGCACAAAGGTGGCAGCCACCCCTCCGACCCACTGCCCAGCTGACATTTAGCCCACCAGGGTGTTCTGCCTATGAAAGGACACTGTCCCTCTCCACTCTCCATGGCAGCACCGCGGTACCCACCACAACCACCACTGGCCTCCTCCTGGGACACCTAGCCATGGGTTAGGATGGTTTGAGCCAGGCTTGGCATCCTTTCTAGAGACATCTTATCCATGAAGAGCCAGCCTCCCGGCCAGGGGTTCCTTAATGAAGAGAAGAAGATTAGGTCTCCCCCGTGTCAGTGGACCACAGAAGGATGGGAACCATTCTTCCACCTCATTTCCAGCCCGTATGTTTGGACGGAGAGCCCTCCTGATGAATATGATACTTAACTGTTTTTGAATGGGTTTCCTCCTTTTCCTCCCAGCATACAGGCATTCCCCCGGAGGAATCATGGCTTTGACACTGAAAAACAAAAGGAATAGGTTTCTTAGTTTGGAGATTTCTGTGTTTCAGGCTGCTGTACAAAATGACAGCACTGAGAAAGTTCCGCCAAGGAAAATGTTTTTTCCTTGAGTGTGACATTCAGCAACACTAAAAAGCATGGTGGCATTAGTTAAGATAGATGCTTACAGCTTATTCCAATTTCCTACCCTAATATTATTAGAATATTGATGTTTATGTTCAATTTTCATTTTTTTCCTATTAAGTATACTATGCATGATAGAAAATGGGTATAAAATATATCCTGTTTACTGGATATCCATTTTTTTTTTCCTTCCAGGCTCATTTCTAAATTCAGCTAAACAAATAAGAATGAATAATACTACCCGTCATCTGCGGGGAGGATTTCACAGCTTTTAAAATACACAGGAATATTATCTCCATTACTGACATTGTGACTAGTAGGTTGCAATTATTCAAATCAGCATTTCTCCAGATCCTCACATCCTCATTTTTCAAGGCTGGAAATATGGCTGTTGGCAGCTCAACATGTGACACACGGTTTTGTGGTTAGCACTAGGACCCAATGCAGCGCTGACTGAGGTGACAATTTTCACACAAAACTTGGTCTTATTGATTTATTTGAGTATGTTAGCCTTAGAGACATTGCAGGATGGGAAAAAGTCTTTGCATTCAGTCTGTTTAAATCTTCTGGAGATTAGCTGAATATCAAAGTCTCTTGTTTTTCTGTCTGAAATAATATTTTAGTCATGCTGAGTGCTGTTTAACAGTGAGTGCATGCTGCCAGAGAGGTTAGTATATCTCAAGAGTAATTGCTGCTTTGTGTAAGATATAAAATGAAAGGGGACTTCTATGTCACAGAGTCAAATCCCATGCTGGTGAACGTGTGTGTCATGTAAAGCAAATAATAAACTTACTGAGCTTAATTTAAAAACCGTTTAGAAGGGCTTTCTTCTTCATTGAAAGACAGCTTTCTGATAACTAGAAACCTCTCGCCTTCCAGCTTAAATTTGTTCATGGTCATTTTATGCCCATTTGTTCTTCTGCCAACATTGTCTTTTAGTTTAAATAGCTCTTCCTCCTCCATTGTGTTTACTCATTGGCATATTTTTAAATATCAGTCATATCTTCAGTCAGCCTTCATTTTTCTATTCTGGGACAACCCAAACTCTTTTATTTCCCTCTCATGTTACAAACTGTTTTTTCTTCCTATCATTTTAGGAGAACAGAATTGAGCCCAGTTTATTAAGCAAAATCTAAAATGTATTTCATACATGCAAGCACAGCATCCTTTGCTAAATTGAGATACCTTAGGTCTACTGTGTTTCCCTCATCTGGAAAATCAGTTATTGTGTCAACAGACAAATATCAGGTTACTTTGTCAAAATCATTTATATCTACATTCCATTTTTACTCCAACTAACTACAGCTGTTATTTGTTCTCTCATTCTGAGAATTCATTCTGAAACGATACATAATATAGAGATCAGACTACTTGCCTTCTCTCAAGTGTAGGTTATGGTGGAAACACCAGTCATTCTCCAGTTGGTGCAGTGTCAGGCATTAAATTCTTTCAGAAATAGAACCATATTTTTCACTATTACTGGAATGATTTCCTGTGGTGTCAGATGGGTGAACTGCCTGTCCAAAGTTGATGAGAGATTTGATACAGTACAATAAGCACTGCTGCAGGTTAAGATTGTGCCATAGCCTTTGCTTAGATAAAACCTTCTTGCCGCCTTCAAAGACCTTGTTAATTTGGTTTAATCTGCAAGTTCTTTTTTTTTTTAACAGTTGGCCAGTTTTTAAGGTTACATCTACTCTCACAGGTTTACTCCTTTAGTTGGAAGCTAAAATGGTGTGGAGATGCCAAAAGAACTGCAGTTTCTTCTGAGACCTTATATTTAAAGATAATTTCTTTGTGTTTGTGGTGATTGACACTGTTTGGATGCCAGGTACCCACCAAACCCACTCTACCACTCCCCTCCTTAGCAGGACAAGGGAGAGAAAATCAAACAAAAGGCTCATGAGTTGAGATAAGGAAAGGGAGAGATCCCTCACCATCTACTTTCACAGACAAAATAGACTGAAGTAGGGGAAATCAGTTTAATTTATTACCAGTCAAATCAGAGCAGGGTAATGAGAAATAAACCCAAATCTCAAAAATATCTTTCCCACACCCCTCCCTTCTTCTGAGGCTCAACTTCACTGCATTTTCTCTACCTCCTCCCCCTGCAGCAGAACAAGGGAATGGGGAATGGAGTCTGTGGTCCATTCATTGCACTCTGCCACTCCCTCCCTCTCAGGGCAAGGACTCCCCACACTCTCTCATTAACTTCTCCAACAAGAGTCCTTCCCACGGGCTGCAGTTCTTCACAAGCTGCCCCAGCAAGGTCCCTTCCACAGGACCCAGTCCCTCAGGAGCAGGCTGCTCCAGCATGGGTGCTCCTTGGGATCACAAGTCCTGCCAGCAAACCTGCTCCAGTGTAGGGTCCTCTCTCCATGGGTCCACAGGTCCTGCCAGGACCCTGCTCCAGCACGGGCTTCCCATGGGGTCACAGGCTCCTTCAGGCACCCACTTGTTGTGGAGTGGGGTCCTCCATGGGCTGCAGGGACACAGCTGGCTCACCATGGGTTGCACCATGGACTGCCGGGGAGTCTGCTCTGGTGCCTGGATCACCTCCTCCAGCTCCTTCTTCACTGACCCTGATGCCTGCAGGGCTGCTGCTCTCACATATTCTCACTCCTCTCTCTGACTGCAGGTGCAGTTGTGCAGGCTCTTTTCCCCCTTCATAAACAAGTTATCCCAAAGGCGCTGCCATCACAGCCCTTTCCGGTGGCAAGTCTGCCATGGACATCCTGGACACAGGGGAAGCTTCCAGCAGCTTCTCACAGAAGCCACCCCTGTAGACCCCCACTGCCAAATCCTTGCAGGGCAAACCTAATACAATATTGTAATATTTTCATGTTCTGATTCCTTCCTGTCCATAATATGAATCTGTGACTCATAGATCATGTTTCAAAACAGTGTCACATGCTAGACTTCCCTTCTCTTGCCCTCATGAGCAAAGTTAGAAGGAGGAGAAAGGCTTCAACGGCATAAATCAACTGAAAACAGAAAGTTAAGAGTTCATTCAATTTCCCAAAAGGGCGACTTTGTTTTAAAACCCATTCTGGATCAGTTGATTAGTATGTGACAGCAAATAGAAATAACTACAAAGACCTCAGCATTCAAACTGAAAACCAGGAAATAAATAGCAAACAATATGAGCTAGAATTTATGGAGTGCAAAATGCCAGTTAGGAAAGATAAAGTCCCAAAGGAAAATTCACAAATCACAGTGCTAAAGACAAAAGATAGTGTGCTGTTTAGAAGAATATTATGAAGAAAATAATTCTAAAAAGTGTGTGCAGTTCTAATTAGATGGAGGTGGCTTTATGTTAGAATTGTATAAAAGGCAAGAGTGCTCTACAGATTTATTTCTAGTCTCTGAAAAGAAGGAGAATCATGCACTCCCATCAAACAAGAATAAGCCATGAACTCTTCAGGCTTTCAACAGGAACTTTCTACAGAATTAGAACAAAGGGTTACCACAGCAACATGGTATGAAGCACTGCCCCAGCAACTGAACACCAATGTCCTAGATACACATACAACCAAGAGGTGCTACTGCCACTACCACTAATGCCAGTAGTGGCACGTGGTTAAACTGAGTCTGAGAATGCATGGACAGGAATAAAGAGAGAGTCAGAAGGTTCATGGCTAATGGTCCTAAAAACATGTCTGAAAACAGCACTTGAATTTGTTGAGCTGCACAGATCCATAAACCATGAAAACATCTATTTTAGAAACTGAAGAAGAGCATGTATTCACAGTCCTACCTGGACTGTGTTTTCTTCTGATCACCTGTGAGCTCTTCTCTCCAACCTTAGGACAGAACAGCCCATCTCCACCACTGAAGAGGCTGGGGGCTCCTTCCCCTGCCAGCCCACCTGTCTCATGTGGCTGGGAAACAGGAAGAACCTGGGTGGACAGCACTCAGCCGTTCAGAACAGCTGTGCTCTTTGCTTTCTCTCTGTAATGCTTGAGAGCCCTCACATTCTCTCTACATGTTTGAGGTAGGATGAAAATGGACCCAAAGAAGCAATCTTCCACCACTCCAGCAGAAAGAAAAGGGTCTTACAAGCTTGAGGAGCTTCAGGAGGAGGAGAGCTGGGACCAAAAGGATCACAATTGCTAGAAAAGGATAGATGTGGACCATAATAATTTGCTTCTTTCAGATGCTTGTAATCACTATTGGCATTCACAATGAATCTCTAAACACTGGGGAAAGCTGAAGGATAACTGAAAGATAGCTGTATATTATAATATTCAGAGAAGGGAAACATAATGATCCAGCTATCCACTGGATGGCAAGACTGACATCCATCCCAAGCGAAATACCAGAGAAGCTGATAAGAAAAATGAATTATATCACTTAACAGAATTCTATGGAATATCATGCTCTTTGGAGTGAAACTAGCTCACTGAGAAGTTATCACCTCTAGCTGACAGAGGAGTTCAGTCATATTAGTTAGTAACTTAAGTTAGCAGCACAACATTCTGCTTTTGAAAAGCCACAACAAAACATTACAGTGCACAGTTTCTACAAGAAAATAATCTGTCAAGTGACAGAATAAAAGGAAAAGTAGTCATAGAGAAATCACTGCTAAATAGAAAAAAGTTTTATAAAGACCATACAGACATCAATTTCAATACAAACTCATTGGTGATAATATTTACAAAGTTATAAAAATTTAGAAGATTGATAAATAATGCTGAAGACACGATGAAACAGAGCAATCTGGAGTGCCCAGCAGGCTGTTTCTTTTTATTCACAATGTATTTTAATACAGCCAAATGCAGACACTTGCATCTCAGAATAGGGAATGCACGTCATTGATACTGAATAGGGACTGCATCCTGAAATGTGAGTGATTCTTGAAAGGAATTAGG